TTGTCCAGTGCGGCGGGGCCGCCACCGGGGCCCTCCTCTCCCCCCCCCGCCCCCCCCCCGGCCCCCCCTGCTTGCAGGACGCCCAATAAAGAGTTTTCCTTCCTACGCGTCCGCTGCCTTCGACTGACAGAGCCTGGGATGGGGCGAGGGAGGGTCCGTCCCTACCGCCCCCCCCCCTCGGAGACATTCCTCCCTTTCCTCAGCCCTGGGGTCCCCCTTGTGCCCCCCAGCTCCACGGACCCTGCCAGCGAGGGGGCCCTGGCCCTGGGCCGAGGCAGGTCAGTTGCTAGGAGATGAGTGGCCCTGGCTGAGTTTCGGGGGTTTGGGGGTTCCCATGAGGCCCTGGACACCCCCCCCCCAGGCTGGCAGATTGCTGCAGCTCTCCCCTCGCCTCCTGTGGCAAGAGCCGGTCCCGCAAGCGCCCGAGGCCTTGTGGGAGGGACTGCTGAAGGGCTCCTGGGGGGGGCTGTTGAGCGAACCCAGGAGTCCTGGCCCCCAGCCAACCCCCGCTTTGACCCACTACACCCCACTCCCTTCCCAGAGCTGGGGAGAGAACCCAGGAGTCTTGGCACCCAGCTCCCCCCTCCTCCCCCCCCCCCACACACACACTGGATCCCTATAGCTTGGCACGGGGAGCCGGGATGTGAGTCGCTGGGGCTGGGCTGGGACCAGGAGAATTCCTGGGAGAGGCCGGAGCACACAACCCCCCCAGCCTGCCATGGGGCACGGCCCTGGCTTGTCACCTGTGCCCCTCTGCACACCCTGCCAGGCAGGACCTGACTCTGCCGCCTGGCACACTGCGGGGGGGGGGAGGGAGCCGGGGGCACGCTGCGGGGAGGGGGGGAGCCGGGGGCACGCTGCGGGGAGGGGGGAGCCGGGGGCACGCTGCGGGGGGCTTGCCAGGGGATTGCAGAGGGCCATAGCAATTGCCTGAGGCTGTGGGGGGCACAGCCTGTGGGGAGAGGGCCCATGGGAAGCAGGGGGCTGGCACTGACACAGCAGGGCAGGGATATTAGGGGGCACAGGAGGGGGGGACAGTGGAAGGAGCCCCAGTGGGAGACAAATAAGAACCCTGCCCCCCCCTCCCTGGAACCCCACCTGAATGGGGGGGCTGGGTTCCCCGGGGCGGGGCAGCACGTGAGCAATACCTGTGTGTATGGGGGGGGGCAGATGTCACGTCAGGAATTCCCGGTGATTCAGTCTGACCTGGGTTTCGGGGAGGGGAGGGGCCTCTTGTAGGTGAGTCAGCCCTGTGAGGGGAGAACCCAGGAGTCCTGGCTCCCAGCCGCCACCTCCCCTCTAGCCACCAGACCCCACTCCCCTCCCAGAGCCGAGGAGAGAACCCAGGAGTCCTGGCTCCCAGCCTCACTTCCCCCCGCTGTAACCACTAGACCCCACTTCCCTCCAAGACTATTTGCGTTATGAGGTCACTGGCTGACCCATAACGCAATTATCTCACCCCGTGCTGGGCGCTTCCTTCTCCTTTCCTGTTAAAGCCACGTCTCAGTGATGCACACAGGCCTGGTGCCCTGGGGGGTGGAAATGGGGCAGGACGGTTGGGGGGGTCTGTCGGGGTCCTGGCTCCCCAGGGGCCTGTGTGGCAACTGGGGGGCTGATGGGCCCGGCTTGTGGGCAGGGCCCCAGACTGGGCTGCAGGACACCTGGGTCCTTGGCCCAGCTCGGCCGCAACCTCCCCATGTGACCAGGAGCAAAGGCCGGGAGGCCCCCTGCCTCAGTTTCCCCCGCTGTAGAACGGTGGAGAATGAGCCTTGCTGTGTCTGTTCAGGCTGGCTGCTCCTGGAGGTGGGGGCTGCTTTCGCTGTGTATCCCGGCAGCCCCCAGAAGGATGGGGCCCCGATCTCGGAGGGGGGGCATCAGTGGGGCACCTGGCCCAACAGGGTCCGGTCTGGGATGGGGATCTGTGCTGGGGTTTAGCCATCCCAGCCACATCCCTCAACTTTCTCTGCCCCACCCCTCGCCCTGGCATCCGGCCTCCCACCGACCTGTCTCGCCCGGGGGTGGCACCGAAGCATTGACCCCTATTGAACTCAAAGGCCCGAGCGACATGGCGGAGAAAACCCCTTGGGGTTAAAGATTCGTCAGCTCTCAGCTTTGCTGGCGGGGGGAGGCCGGGGGGCAGCTCCCCCAGCCAGAGGACTGGTCCCCAGCGAGCCTGGCTGGGACTGTGGGGCAGGGCAACGAGGCAGCCAGGCCAGGGGCTAAAGTCCCGTCCTTGGCTGGTCATTAACCCCCCAGCCACATTGGGCAAACAACAAGCAAACAACCACCCCAGGCAGTGTCTGGGGGGGAGGGGGCCAGTGGGGCTGGGGTGGGAAGCTGTGGGGGGATGGGAAGTGGGGCTGGGGGCTGGGGTGGGAAGCTGTGGGGGGATGGGAAGTGGGGCTGGGGGTTGGGTGGG